ATTAACTCAACAAAACTAATTAATGTGTTTTAAAGTTGAAAAGATATAATCAATCTTTTTGAAAAAAAACAAATTTAGAACCTAAAACAATGAAAAACGGAGGGAGTATCATCGTATTTGCACTTAGTATAACTGTAAAATCAGGGTACATAAGAAAATGAAAAATTATTTTTGATTTCGATTTCATAAATTTTTACTCATATCATCTAAGTGTAATTGAACCATGACTTTTACTTGTATTTTTCTAAGTTACATCTAAGTTATAACATGGATATATATATCCGGCATATGGGCGAGTTACGTATTATTTTTAGTATATCCATATACGAGAAAACAAAATACATGTATTTCTAAAGATTCATTTTTAAAAAAAAAGTAGTACATTTTCACCCAAATGTTAACTAAAAGATAAGATAAGTTTCCACATCTCTGGTCAGTTATTTTTTTATTTACCTCAGACAGATAAAATTGTATGTGACAAGGAGATTTATATATGATAACAACTAGATAACGAGTTATGTTATTTGAAAAACGTATTAAGCGTGGAAACCTGGTCTAATAGAATGTTAATTAACATATTTCACCAAGTTTGAAAGATCTCTAGCGTAAGTTTTTTTTGTAGTGCATGTAACTGTTCATCATTGGATATAATTTTTTATCGAAAGCGTGATGCAATTGAAACCGTCTATGATTGATTTTTGTGTGCAAACATATATATACACACATACAGTCTGTTTTATATACAGTAAGTAACCAATTTAGTATATATTTTTCTTTTAGAAAGACAATGTTTTAGCAGATACTTTAGCTAAAGTTGCCCTCGACAATCTTGAAATTGCTGCCTTAACTATTTTCTGAGTTTAATGAATATGTTGATAAAAAAAAGATTAATAGATAAAACATATATTCTTATAATTTATTTCATTTATCAAATTTTCATAACAATATACAACGTCTTATTTAAGTGTACTAATAGAACAACGACAAACAAATCTTCTGCAACTACCCAAATTCCTATTCTTCCTATAACAAGCTTGTGCACAATCATGACAAAATCAAATTTCGTTTTCACCTGCAGAAAACTCTAAGTGCTCGTCCGGTGAAAGTTGATATGTTATCGTAAAATCAATGGGAGGATTCGCTACTAAAGTAGCAGAGTCATTTTTTTCTTCTGAACTGGATTTTGTCATAATATTTGATGTACCTATAAATATTCCAAAACATATATCAAATTCTCTAAAAAATATTTCAATGAAGACTATAAAATATGTAAATATTATCCTAATTAACCATACTCACACAAAAAATTACATGATGTAAAAAGAATTAGAAAAGTTAAAAACAAAGCAATTGTCTTCATCTTTTAAAGAAAATTCAATAATACTTCAGGGAAAAAATATATTGAAACTTTATTTGTTAATGGTTTTTGAGTTTTTATTGTGAAGTTGTTAAAGCTAGATATTACCATATTTATATATATGTCGTTAAGTATGTTACAAAAGAGTTGGATGGACTTCTCTGGGCACTTGAATGTCTTAAACAAAATCGCATCACCGCAATTCGGGTTGAGACAGACTGCTCGGACCTACTGAAGATGATTGACAACCCGATGGATTGGCCAGTGTTCGATATAGAGTTGGACTACCTTTATGAGCTTAGAGACAGTTTTGTTTTCTTTCGACTATCCCTTATTCCACGTTCATGTAATGCCAATACTGATGCACTTGCAAAAGGGGCTCGTGTAAGTGGCCATTTCTTTTCCTACGTAGATCTCGATGAGCCGGTAGGAGCTGTTCCAATCGGAGTAGCCTTTCCTAGCCGACCAACTTTGATTTAATATATGGAATTTGTTGACCCAAAAAAAAATATCTATCTTATCATAGTGAAGTAAATTCACCATTCTCGATAC